TGTCCTCGACATCGGTGGCAACCTGTGACGACGACGTCTCTGTGGTCTGCGTCGATCTGCAAAACCATCGTCGATCAGTCAAACGGACCTCGACCATCGTGCTTTTGCACAAACGTACCGAGCGTCGGCCTATCGATGGCGCTGCTCATGTTGGTGTGCCTGCCGGTGGTGGACGTAATCCGGCTACTAGCGTCGTCGTCCGACTCGAGGAACGTGGTGGTCTCGAGGTCAGAGCTCAGAATCGACGCGGACTCATAGCCGAGCGCCGAGCGATGCTTCGAGTGACCATTGATCCTCAAGCCATTGTACTTGTTGTACTTCTCGTACTTGTCACTGTGGTGCCTCGACGATTTGTGCAAGTGATGGCCCTGCCTGCTACTGATTATGCTCTCGGTCTCGGTCAGCGTGTCGTCGTGGGACAGCGGCAGTGGCGGTCGCGTCGTGTGGCCCGGCGTCACGTGAGTCTCGTGCTTCACTATCTCTTGATGCGGCACCGTGTCCGTGCACTGCGACGCACCGTCGGACACGTTGCTACCTTCGGCCGAGACCAGCTGCGCGGGTCGACGAAAACGAGATAGTTTTGGTGTTGCTTTTGTGCAAAGCGTAAAGAGCTTTTCTTACCCAAGACACCACTCGGCCATTAAAGCAGGGAAGATGAGCATCGTCGTCGATTATCTCTTCCTTGACGACGCTGCGAAAAAGAGAACAAGTCGAGGTTTAGCGGAGCACTGCGGCGCTCTTTGCGATATGCTGGATGTCGAGGAAATAGCTTGCGCGCATTGCACGTCCCTGCGACGGCGACCGTCGTCTAGTTAGTCCCGCACACCAATGGGAAGCGTGCGAAGCGCGGGGCCCGAGCTCGCCCATTGGATTTGCGTCGGCTAAAGGAGGAAACAACGCGTGCGCCCGAGAGAAAGCCCCAACAGCAAAAAAAAGTAGAGCACGCATTCTCCCTCTCTCGCGCGCACAAATCGTCGCGCAGCAGCACGGTCGGAGAGAAAAAAAAATTCGTCGTCGACACCCCCTTCGCGCTCGCTCCCCGAGGATGGGGGTGGCATTGATAAGAGGTTGGCGTGTTGCCCCTCGCTCCCTTGCCATGCAGGCCAACGCGTGTACGCGCGTGCGACAAAAAGAGCCGTGCTGTACGAGAGATTTTTCGCACTCATTAAAACATCGCATGCGGCAAAACTTTCTGAAAAACGCCCGCGAGATCAAAGCAGAAGGGAGAGGGAAGAGGGAAGAGGGAAGAGAGAGAGAGAGAGAGAGAGAGAGAGAGAGAGAGAGAGAGAGAGAGAGAGAGAAACAGACAGAGAGAAAAGTCGACAGCGAGAAAAAATCAAGAGGGAGAAGGGTGGCAGGCTTTCGAGGAGAGGTAAATGCTTATTTCGCGAAGAATTGATCGTCGCGCTATATACCCGCGAGTCTTGGCAGCCGCTCAGCCAACAAAGCCATGCACAGACTTTTTTCCTTCTCTCTCTCCTTTTTGGCTCCAGGCTGTCTCCTCCTCATATTCCCATGCGCGAGAGTATTGATTTGGGGGCTCGAAAATCAGTTGAGAAAATGAAACGAATTGTCTTTTGTTCAAAAGACTCTGAATAATACATAAGAGGGACGCTTTTTTTAACATAGACGTCATGCTTTTACTACGGGTTTTGCTTTACTTGACTAAAAACCTCGAGTGTACTCGCGCGACCGCAACTTTTCTTTTTTATACCGTTTGAAAGATTGTCTCCTCTTGTTTATTTTTTTTTCGCAATTCGAAATACATATAGAGAGGAGTGTTTTGTGCCGGAAGTCATTTGCAGATTGTTTTGTGCGCGATGACGGGGGGTGGGGAGACCGATGGAAACATTCGCATATCGCCGCTATTTATGCTAAACGATGCAAGCTTTTATCCTTGCAATAAATTCCAATTTGACATTGAATATTAAGGTGCGCGCTGCTCTAATGCTCTATACCGGTATTTTCTCTTTTTACGCGTGGCAAATTATAGACGACCGTATTTTCTCTTTTTTTTTTCGTTGAAAACGGGATTCATCTTTTTACGATGAGTCGTTCATGCAAATATTCCGTGACGAGCGTTAATTTGTGGAAATAGCATTTGTTCATAATAATATGGAAAATACAGGCAATAAAATCAGTTCTAATAAAATTGTAAATCTGTTGGACAATGCAACAATTTTAACGATCCTATAATACGCAACAATAAGGCTCACGATAACTTTGTAAATCGGAATAAATGCCAAGAAGGTTATCAACTACAAGCTTCTGCCATGGCAAAATAAGTGCGTATGCATACACAGGTGACATGAAAGAAGGTGCGAAAACGAGACATCGACACGGGTAAATGACACCGAAGAGGAAGAGAGAAGAGATAAATCCAATAGTCCGCAATTACAGTTAGATATGAGGTGCTACGATGACACCTAACTCTCTTCTCTCTCTTTTTCTCTCCTGTATTAATTATGCTATCAGACAGTCATACGCATTTAAAAAAACCGGCCGTACGCACACGTTTGATTTATTTACCGCGTAAAGTGGCGCTCCAAAGATGCTTTCGGAGCAGTCAGTATTTTCGTTACTTCGGAGTGGAGGAAATAGAGTTTAAACGACTGTGCTTAATCAAACCGAGTAATCTTCAACCTGAATAACGCTTTTTTTAATCCATGGCCTTTCAGAGGCAGCGTGCCGAGTTTCTCGTATTCGGAGCAGTCGCAGAAGGAAAAAAAAAGAAAAACGCAAGGCAACAAAGCGCTATCATCGTCTCGCATCGACGTCGCGAGCCAGAGCGGCAGCGGCGTATCAACAGAGAGAGAGAGAGAGAGAGAGAGAAAGAGAGAGAAAGAGTGAGAGAGAGAGAGAACAGAGTTAGAACTAGAACAGTAATTGAAACTCAACACGGTCGTCGTAATAAAAAAAACTATTTAATCGATATAGGGAATCTAAGGGGGCAAAACAGATAGGATAAAAAGCTACTACTCACCCGAAATCATCGTCCATGGACTTGAAGAAGTATTTGTAATTGGGCCTGTTGAGCACATTCTTGAAGTCGGCGAGAGTAACGCGTTCCGGCGAGATGTTGAGTTTGACGAGATAGGGCGTCTCCTCATCGTCGATGTGGTATATGATTTTCGTTTCTTCCATTCTGATCTTTCTTTCTCTCTCTTTCTCTCTCGCCGTCGAAACGGCACAAACACACTCTCCTTTTGCTCTTTCTCGCGCGCGCGCTCTCTCTCTCTCTTTCTCTCTCTCTATACTTTACTCGCCAATATGGCGTCGTCGTCGTCGTCTCTCGACCAACACTCTCATTTCTTTCTCTCTCTCCGTTGGTTAACCGTCGCGAGACTTGCCCTTGTTGCTACTCCTCATTGTTGAGCTTTACCTCTTGCACGCGCGCACGACACACTAAACTCAGCCTACCCGTTGGCCGAATAGGCGCGATGCAATCACACTCGCTCGTCGCTCTCTATCTCTTGTACATCTATCGGCTTGCGACGCGCACTCAAGCCGCCCGCGACGAGCTCCGCACCACCGCGAACACGACAAGCTGCCAAGCCTATCTGCTGCTACTGCTGCTACTCGCTCTTTCTCCGCGAGAGACTGCTGCTGCCGAGCGGAATATGGCGGCGAATGCGCGCACACACCACCCACACTTCTGTAATACAAACACAACCACCATTCCTCTCTCCCCGTACCTGAGCTGTTTTGTATGTGTATGTGCGTGTGATGAGTGAGAAGGGAGAGAAAACTTTTTATATATGTTATTTTTAAATTCAGTAATCTTGCGTTGCAGTTCAGAACAAAAGAGTTCATGCGATGTTAACGGCTTTTTACTGCCGCCACTACTGTGAATTCGATGTGAGCTTTACAATCGGCGCAGGATGTGCACCTGTCAAGGACCGCGCAGCAAGGATGTAATGTCTGCTCGGCGACGCCCTGTTTTGTTTTCTTAGGGGGATGGTGTGCAGTTGCTCTCTCTCTCTCTCTCTCTTTCACTCTTTCTCTCTTTCTCTCTTGCTCGCGCATGCAAGGAAATAATAGCGTGGTCTGAGAAATAGTGTGTTATATGCGTGCCAAGGTATTTTTGAGAAATGACAATGCTCTGCAAGTTATCTTTATCGGGTAGCGGCGAGATCGTGTTTATCCTCTATGCTTTTCTGGAAATTTCCGATATTCATGGTATTCTCACGCGATAAGAATAATTATCGAGAGAACAGAGATTTCATGTTCGTGAAAGAAAATCAAATTAATTCTAAGAGTGGATGGTTTCTGAGAGATGAAAAAATACAAATCACGATTTTGAAGTCGAACACTGCAAAAATGACATTCGAGTCATGTAAGCCGCAATAGTCGAAATGTCTCCGCGGGTGGACATTTAAAAATTAAAAAACAAACAAGCGCGCATGCGCTCGAAATTTTACTCCGAGATTTTAGTGAAGTAATTTGATATAATCTCCTTTTAGAATAAGAGAGTACAATTAGGTTTCTGTATTATCGGTCGAGTCGGCGGTCGACGAGGTACACTAGCAGATGACAGAGCTCCGCCATGTTCATTGTTGTTCTTTTGGTGCAGGCCATATATCGCGAAATAATTCCTTATTTGGAAATAGACAGTAGCCTGACTGCGCGTTTCGCTACCATAGCCGGGATGCGCTCTTACAAGTGCAACTTTGCCGTGTTGCCCTTTGACTTTGCCGCTTCTTTTTCAATTGTCTGATATATCTTTCTTTGCTTTTTTGCTGTGATTCAGGTTATTTTGTTGAACAAGTGTGGGTGGAATTGACGTGGTATTTATAATTAAACCTGGTGTATTGTTTCGTTGGAACGTCATGCACATTGTTTTTACGCACGGCTTTTTTTGTGTGATTGACAGAATGTCAATGATTATAAATTTATATTAATTGTGTTTTTTACAATTAGACATCAAATATCTATGAAACTAAAGAAAGAATATAGTGAATTTGTAAGATATGGATACTATAAAAATGAATTTGATGATACCAATGTCACCCAAACTTGTAAAAAATTTACTTGCAGCTCACCGTAAGTATTCCTTAATGTCACAATGCTAGAATAGGAACTGAAATTGTTAATTTATTTTATTTTTAGAACCTGCAAATACAAGCTTGCAACTGGCAAGTGCTCCAGTGATAATTGTACAAGAAGAACCTGAAAATTCTTCAAATTGGTATCAAGTTCCAAACAGCGATGTCCTTGTTAAAAATGTAAATATTTGTCTTATTGAGCTGTTCTCAATTAGTAGTTGTTTAACAAAATAATCTTTTATAGGTAAAATTAAATCTTCCTGTTAGACATGTTCAACAACCTTGCATGTCTCTTAGAAATATTAGAAACCTACACCCTTCAAATACGCACGTATCTAAGAAAAGTAGTGATCTGCAAGAATCATTAAGCAATATAGAAGTGTTAGAGGCTTTTTCCAATACAAAACTGATACAACCGAGTGCAACAAAAATTTTATCATCTGGAAAGACAGCTACTATACAAAAAATAATAGAATCACTCCCACAGGAAAATGAATCGGAAACTGTAGATGAATCTAAAAAGCCTCCTCATAAGAGAGGAGGAAAACCATCAAAAAATTGGAGAGACGCTATAAAAGATGTAATTTCAATCAGTCTTATTATTATAGAAATATTGTTTTTTGAAGGATAACACACCTTTTTTTTATTGCAGGCTCTTTACAAATGTGATATATGTGATGAAGAGTTCAAAAAACGGTACTTATATCAAAGGCATATGCACGAACATTCTCAAGAAAAACCTCACCATTGTCCTAAATGTTCTGCATCATTTAATGTGCCAGTAAATAATTATTTTTTAATTTAAAGATTTTTGCTTGACCATTTGATTGAGTATATTTATAAACTATAAAAAACAATTTTCAAAAATATTTTGATAAAACAATGAGCTAGTAATACTTGCAATTATTCGTGCTTTATCACTTTATAATATTATCATTTGGTAATTTTACAGATGAATTTTACATTACACATGGCAACACATAACATTGGCGAACCAAAATGTCCCATGTGCAATAAACGATTTGCCCGCATAGCTAGTCTTAAAGCGCACATGGTTATGCACGAGAAAGATGAGAATCTCTATTGTCCCGAGTGTGATGGTATTTTTGAAACGAAGGTAAAGAAATTTCAATTTTTGTTGTTTTTTCTACATATAATACCAAGGCGGTTGCAAAATTGTTTCTTTTCTATCTGGTTAAAAGACATTAACGATCTAATGACCATAGTGTCCAAGTTTAATTAAAACTAGATTGATTTGTTGGAAACGATAAGATTGCGTGTCCACAGTAGGATGTGAATGACCGACATACTTGCTGCGTGATCGCGTGATTCACGAGAGTAGAGTATTGCCGATTTGTAATTAATCGTACTGACGTAACGCTTTTGTAATATCAATTTATCTCAGCTTCATGTAGCACAGTTCCTTCACACGCATTCGCATTCGCTAAAGCAGACAACTGCACGTCGTCGTGTCAAAGTTGATTCGCATAAGAGTCGACGTTGTTTTACACACAGACTGATTAAATTCATCGTAGTCTTGCAAAAGTAATAATTAAGTCAGGCGATCGCAAGAAGAAGTCGTCACTGGTGTTGCAACGAAGCGCGCGGGGGAGTGCACAAGAGGCTGCGTCAGTTGTCCATAAAGGATTACAGTCGCGTGGGCGGCAAAGTGCGCGAGTTACGCAAGAGTCGAGTGCGTGCGCGCGCAAATTTGCGATTTTGAGCTTCCGCCGCGGCTGCTGAATTATAGCGTCTCAAGGACGAAAGCGCTTGCGCGAGAAAGCTTTTTCGCATGGATAAAACGTCCGTCGCTCGTCGCGCCAATTGAAAGACCCTTCTGCTCCTGTGTGTTTTCAGCGCGCATAAGTTAATGAGTCGTCCTGATTGAGATTTCAGCATTGTCAGCGCGAGCGCTGAATAATGACTATTTTTTCTTTTTTGTTTGGCCGTAAGAACCCTTTTTTATATGTATTTTTCCTTTTTTTCGTCGCCTGTGCAGTTGCAGCGCGCGTTTAATTGTGCTCTAGAGTTTGTAATTGCAAAGCGGAGAGGGGATAAATCGCACATGCGGTATTGTTGCGCCTACACCCGTTAAAAACCCGCCTCTTTTCGACACGTTCTTTTCTTTATTTTCGGAACGATCGACAGAATAAGAATACTAATGAAGACGCGGAGGCTTTTAAGAAAGGGAAGAAAGGGGATTTCCTGGGCGTACAACGCGCATTTTCTTTTCGCTATTATTTGTCGGCGAAACGTGGGAGCTTGGAAGGCGCAGACGACGCTTCACCAATAAAACAATGACGCGCTCCTCTTCTTTTTTTTCCTATTTATCCTTGACGCTCTTCGGTTCAGTTATATAGACACTAACACATTTGTTTCAGCGCGCGTTTCTGTAAACCTTTAATTGCCAATTATATCAATTCAATGCAAAATTGTTTTCGCTCGCTCTCTCTCTCTCTCTGTCTCTACTATGTTCATGCGCGTGCCTGTTTATCTGCGTTTGCCTGCATGTATCGACGAAAAATTAGAACTGAAGAACAGGAAAAAGAAGAAACGTCACTTTCTCGGAAAGCTCACAAAAACATCGTAACCAATCTAAATCCAAGTGGCTTATGCATAGTCTCGCCATCTGGCCCCATAAGTCAAGTCTAGGGTTCGAGAGAGCACCTCTCTCTCTCTCTCTCTCTCTCTCTCTCTCTCTCTCTCTCTCTCTCTCTCTCTCTCTCTCTCTCTCTCTCTCTCTCTCTCTTCTCACTGCTGCTATGCCGGCATACGTAATATCAGTAAGGCGCGAAGCGGCGTCGAACTCACATCTTCTAACAGCTGTGCGAAAGCGAGAGCAAAAGTGCATACCGCGCTTTTCGACACGTGCTACTGATATTTGATTACTTCCGCGAAGCCCATAGTTTCGCCAGCGAGTGAAATTTTACAGTCGGTGTGTTGCTTTCTTTGCGAGAGGTGAAGCTCAGCGAGCGCTCCACTTTGCATTTGATTTGAACATGAAAATAAGCTGCGTGGCGCTCGACTCAAGTGGTTCCTGGTCCGCGAGAACGGTCGGTTGCGCAAAAGCGCGAGTGGCTCGTCGAGACAGTTGAGGCCGTCGTGTCGCGTTTCAAGTCGCTTGCGTGCGCGCGCGCGCCTCGAGTGGCTCCTTGCTCGCGTTCGATCGGCAGCCACTGTGAAATACAGCGACCGTTCGATGAAAAGAGCTCGTGAGGCTTTTCGCGGGAGCGACGTTGGCCGATCGCTGGCTCGACTTTAATCTACTCGGGCTTGCAAGCCGACGCGCTGGGTCTTGGTTCGCGCTCGTGCACGCGTGCTCGCGCGCGGACGGTTAACGAAGCGATCGTTCTCGTTCCTTTTTCTCTCTTTCTCTCTCTCCTCTCTTCGGACTTTCGATTTTAGAATTCGACGGGGGAGAGCGTGTACGGCGATAAAAGCTCGCAACCATAATACACAGAAATAGACATCGGAGTGTAAACGTGCGCGCGCGCGCGCGCGCCTGTGTTTCCGAGTCCGAGGTTTTCGTGTACAGGGTGAACGAGCTTGTCGAACTCGATCTCCGTCCGTGATATGCGATAAAAAAAATCAGAACAAATTGTTTCGAGCGTCGTTCCTTTGTGACTGCACCAACTCTGCTGTACTATGCGGAACGCTATCTGTCGAAATACGCTTACATCAACAGTAGTCTGTCAAGCTGAAACTCCGAGATAAAGAAAGCTCACAAGCTAGAGGCAAGGGACCGTGCTAGCTATAATCGTTTGTCGATAATTTTTTTCCATTTTTTTTTTTCGCTTTCTTCTTTCGCCGATAGAAACGTCGCAGCTCGGCGAGATAACAAGGCGAGCGGAGTGCCTTGAAAGCCGCCACTAGAGCGTTTCCGGTCCTCGCAAAACTCTCACGCATTGCGATCGGCGTCGCGTCTTTGTAGGTCGCAGCTTCGCCTGGTCATAGCCCGCGGCCGATTCGGCGAGGCTTTCTCCGAGATTCTTTTCGATTGGCAGCCGCGGCGCGCCGATGAAACTGCGTCTCGATGCATCGAAAATTGCGAGAATTGAGATTGATGCGCCGGAATGCGGGACAGACGCTCGCTCTCGGTTTTGCGGCTCCGGCTGAAGCCTCGCGCTCGAGGCCGACGGCCACTTGGGCGCACGTGCGCCCGGCAATCAGTCGTCATCTGGAGGCGCGCGCGCGCGCGAACGTCGGCTAATTCCCGGCTTCCTCATCGGCGCGTCGCGGAAGCGCCGCGGTCGGTGCGCGAGAACGCGCGGCGCGCAACTGCAGTGCTGCCGCGAAGCCGAGCCGCCGGCCGGCAGCGCGAGAGAGGCGCATCCGCGGCCGGCCGAGATACGCCGAGGAGGCTTCCCGAGGCCGATAGGGGACACGCGCCCGCGCGGAGGCCAGTGAGTCGAGCGAGCACGCGTCGACAAAGCGCTCGGCCGCAGGCGCCGTCTCAACGACCAATGCAAAGTGCCAGCGCGACGCCGGGCCGGGCCGATCGCTCGAGACGTCAGTGTGCGCTCCGAGCTGGCGGGCCGTGCTGCTCGCCGGGCGTGCGCTCCACGAGGGACACTCGAGGCGACCGTCGCTGACGCAATGGACGAGAAGAAGGTCTTCCCCGGGGGCAGCGCCGAGTTCGCGCTGATGGCCATGTGCGCGAGGGCCTTCTACTTCGCGCTCGGCCTCAGCGCGCAATATCACCAGGTTCTCGCTTGCACGCTCTGCTTCATCCCGCTTCGCTTCTCGAGAGCAGCGATATCGCGCCAATTCGGGCTCGCGGTTCGGCACGACCGAGCGTCATAGGTCAGCGTCGGCGAGACAAAGAGGAGAGCCGGCGATTTCGTCAGCGCTGTCTCCTCGGGGTGACCCCGCCGCGCGCCGGCAGATAAGTCCCGTCCGCCGCGCGCTGCCTATTGCCTCTTCGCGGCGACTCGGACGGACGCCCCGGAGCTCGAGCGACGATGTCGCGAGAGATGTTTGTTGTCGAATGGTCGTCTCCGACGATAATTTCGTTACTTACAGCAGGTGCCGCTTCGTCTCTTGGCAAACGTCGACTTCTGGCCTCGCAATGGCTCCCGAATCGCCTTGGAAACGTCGCACAGGCGTCGATAATTACCGGCGCGTGCTTCAGATTTGCCAGCTGGCTGCTCGTGTAAGACCAACAACGATAAAGCTCGACTCACGAAGAAAAATCGTTTGTTTACAGTCGCAGTTGGAAGCCCACATGAAGCTGCACGATACGGAGAAGTGGCCGAGCGAGGATTTCCGCAAGTGCAAGCTTTGCCGCGCAAAGTTCACTCATCCGGCGCTCTACCGACAACACTTGCGCGACCATTATAAAGTGAGTAAAAACGTCACATCTGTGCCAAAGACAGTAAGCCCCTCTGTTGCTGATCGCACTTACCGCCGTGAATAAAAGTTTTGCTTGAGCCGCTTACGACATTCGGGCACATGATGACTGAGCAATCGCGATTGCTTCGCTCTCGTGAAAGGAGGAGCGTTTTGTAAAATAATAAACCTAATCGCCATACATCCGTGACAGTCGATAAGACAATTCCAGCTGCATCCGGCGCTCGACTTATCGTCTTGCGTCTCTCAGTCTCTTCTCTTCCTCTGTCGACGCGTGGATATTAATCGTCTCTCTCTCTCTCTCTCTCTCTCTCTCTCTCTCTCTCTCTCTCTCCTCCCTCCCCCCTCTCTCGTTCTCTCTCTCTCTCGTTCTCTTTGTATTCGCATAGGTGCAAACGAAGATTGAAAAGCTGACCAAACGAGGAGTCGTCAAGCAGAGGACCATCAATAGTTGTCGAATCTGCGAAAAGTCGTTCGAGAAACCAAGTCAGCTGGCACGACATTTGCGGGTCCACACCGGCGAGAAACCTTATAAGGTATTATTATCGTCTTCGTGCAACGTTGTCATGTTTCTTTACCTTTCAATTATTCGTAATTGACATCATTCGTTGACAAAATAAACGTAACTTTCACGTCGCTCTTTTCAAAACGGTTAAGCGAGTGCCATTCCCTCCGAGACACCGACGTTATTTTCTATTTTACTAGATATATATATATTTTTTTTTTATAACCAGATAACAAGATTCATAGCCTTATTATTTTTAAATGAAACGAGTTTCCCCGCGTTAAAGTTTCGGAGAGCACAAGAGGGTTCCAGGGCGCAATTATTTTTAGATTCCGTAGGATTCGAATGAAACGATGAAAACGTACGTTGCATTCCCGATCACTTTTAAAATTATTTCGCGGCGGTATGAGATTCATCTCGCTCAATCGGACTCCCGTGAAACGAACTCCAAGGAATTCTCGAATTATTGCAGTGCAATCTGTGCAATCGCAGCTTCACGCAGAAAGGCTCGCTGAAAATTCACATATGGCAGCACGAAGGCAACAGGCCGCACAGCTGCTCGTTCTGCCGCGCTAAGTTCAGTCAAAAAGGTAAAGCTGCTCGGGCCTGCGTGGAAGTAAAGCGAGCCCGTGGCCCGAATGCGAGCAGTCGCAATGATCAATTGATTGTCCGCAGGCAACCTGAATTCGCACATTTTGAGAACGCACGTGGTTCGCGAAGGCTCGACGGTTTATCGTTGCTCTCATTGCCCGTGTGTGTTCAAAACCCTTGGCAGTGTGAACGGGCACATCAATCGAGTTCACGGCAAGGACAGGCAGCCGCGCAAGGATGCCGAAAATCAGGAGCAGGAGGAAGGCCAGGCTGAAGAAAACGAAGAAGAACGTGACCACGAGATCCACGAGGTCATGAATCAGATCGCCGATCTTGAATCCTGCCTGCAGAATACGAGTCTTGCGAGGCGACCTGGCGAAGATGATATTGTTTGCGAGAATGGCAATCTGCAGAAGAAATTCAGTGCTACGACTGAAAGTGATGCTAATTTTCAGGAAGGCTTCGTCGTCACTGATGATAATGAAAAGACGGCGATGGTCACGGTTTTGGACGAGGCTTCTAGTGACATAGAACGGTGCGTACTCTTTTCGCACGATGATTGAAAATAAACCAATCCAGACGATTTCATAAATTTTTTGGTTTCAGCAAGTACGTTAAGTTAAAGCAGCGATATGTAAATAACTCTAGAGTCTACGAATGCTCCTACTGTGATAAAATATTCAAAAAGCCATCGGATCTTAGGAGGCATTTACGAATACACACAAGAGAAAAGCCCTTCAAAGTATGACACGATCCTCTATTTCAATTCATGTGCTTGCCGGGAAATTAAATAAAAATATACTGTCTTTTCAGTGCAACATTTGCAAACGAAGTTTTAGTTTGAAATCAACATTGGTGGCGCATGAGCGTGTACACAAAACGGAAGAAAGATTCAAGTGCCGAGTTTGTAATGCCACTTGGAGATCTCAAAGGCAACTCTTAGATCACGAGAAGTAAGCATTTTTTGAAAGAAGCTAGACAAGTTCGTTTAAATGATTTTTTGTCATATTGTAGATTACACACAGAAAATTACACGTGCGTCGTATGCAGTAAGACATTCACGAGTTTCAAAATGCTAAAAGATCATTCGGCAGATCACGAATTTACCAAACCAAAGAAACAAGTCAGTGAGGAAGTAAAAAATTTAGCTGGAAAAGTTCAATTAAAGGATCCACTTGAATTGAAGGTAGCGAGTAATGGTTTACTTCTAGCTGAGCCTAAATATCGAAACGACATTATCAACGGCAGAGGTAGGCCTCACAAATGTCCATCTTGTCCAGCTGCTTTCATGAAGCTCAGCCATCTGAAGCAGCATCACAGAAGGCACACGGGCGAGAGACCTTTTGAATGTTATTTGTGCAATAGGTCAGATTTTTTAAATTATATTAAAGCCTATCACGATTAATGATTTCAATTTTTGTTGAATTTATCTAATTATTTTTTTTCTTTTGCAGAAAATTTTCAACGACTAGTGCTCTCAATGCTCACGGTCGGATACATGATGCTACAAAACCTTTTGTTTGTCCAGTTTGCTCCATGAATTTCACAACTAACAGTAGTATGAAGAGACATTTAGTTACACATACGAACAAGCGACCTTATATGTGCCCATATTGTAATAAAACATTTAAGACGACTGTTAGTTGTAGAAAACACATTAAAGTTCATAAACTTGAAATAGCTGAGGAAGTATGTCAGGTTTCGAATTTTTATTATAACTATTTATTTCATATATCTACATAGCTTATTTTATATGCAGGAAGTTAAAAGACAAAAACACGGAGAAGAATCTTCTCTAAAAATTAATAATGGAGGTGTAACTCTTCAACCTCTTTTGATTGGGCCAAAGCATAACTTAAACTCTCAACTTGAAGCAACCACCAAAGAAAAAAGTCGGTCTTACATGTCTATTTTGCCAACTTCGCAAAATGTTGTAGCTATAGGGCGTAAGTTATTCAAATGATTTTTTAAGTTTTTTGTAGAGTTTAACTTTACAAGTGAAAATAGCTTAGTATTGAATTTGCTTTGATACTTAAATCACAATGAATAGAATGTCCATAACTCACTACGTAATTTCAGTGCTATGCGCATATTTATATTTAACCTGTTTTTCGACATTTTTAAATATATTTTTACAGAAAACCTACCCACAATAAACAACCCTAATCTAGGTGCAGATCAAAATTTTCCTGCCAACGAAACAAGCACAGTTACAATAGTTAATTATTCAAATGATCAAACTTTTACTCCTGTATGTAATATTACTGTGAAAATTATGTAACACTTTAATATTATCAAATATTTTATAAATATCTAATAAAATTTATATTTTTTTATCACAGGACAGCATAAAAACTTTACAAGACACGTTAAATCAACAATTACTTAATATTGACGTAAATCTGGAAGTAAAGGATAATAAAGTAATCGAAAATCAAGCTTCATTGGATACTCAAAATTCACCTATTTTGAGTATTATTTATAGCGATGGGAAGACTTATGAGTCTCAAATCAATACACCTGTAAGCAACTTCGTTCCTGAATTAAATACCTTTGATATTAATGAAATGACATTACAGGTATTTTTTTTTCTCTTAAATAAACACTATTTTTATTCAATAAAAAAAATCGGCATCCATTCTCTATTTAATATTTGTTATTCCACAGACATTAAAGAATGAAATAGAAATGAGAATTACTCCAGCAACTTCGACAAATATGACTAATATATTACCAAATTCTATTCAACGAAGTCCGACTTTATGCACAACTTCAATATCTGACAATAATAATCAAACAGTCAATATTTGTTCGACAAAAAGTAATCAGTCTCCAAAAAATCAAATTCTATTTGAAGATAGCAATCTTCAATGTCATATGTGCAACAAACGAGAGTTTACTGCAGACAGTTTGAAAGAACATTTAAAAACGCATCAGAGTAGCAGAGAATTCGAGTGTACGTATTGCCTTTCAAAATTTTGCTCAAATGGCGGTTTGAGCAGACATATGAAAATTCATGAAACTCCCGAGTAAGTTACTACCGTTAAATTTTTTTTTGTACTGTTTGATCTCAAAACTTATGTTTCATTTAATTTTCAAATAGAACGCATAAATGTTACGACTGCAATCAAGAATTCTCCACATCACGAGAATTAACTGTACATATTAAAGAGCACGTCAGGCAAGAATTGGAATTGAAAAACGCTATAGGTCCTAATGAAACTATAGATGTTGGATTAAAAGATGTAAGAGTGGCAAATATTATTTTACTTTCATTACTTCAAACTTTGTATAATACTTATATCTTGCTTGATTTCCAGATAAAACCAGAAAAAAAAAGCAATCAGTGTACGTATTGCTCGAAAATTTTTCGTAAACCGAGCGATCTTAAAAGACATATTAGAACACATACCGGTGAACGACCGTACAAATGTCCGTATTGCGATAAAAGCTTCGCCGTTAAATGTACGTTGGATTCTCACGTAAAAGTACACGACGGTGTAAAAAAATTTCATTGTTACGTATGCAGTAACGTGTTTGCAACAAAAGGCAGTCTTAAAGTTCATATGCGACTGCACACAGGTGAAATGAAGTTTTCCAGAGATTTGAAATTCTCTTCATATTAAATGTTGTTTTGAAACTTTCTTTCTTGTTTTAGGTGATAAACCATTTAAATGTGATATGTGCGATACGAGATTCCGTACTTCCGGACACCGGAAAGTCCATATGGCTTCCCACACACGTGAATCCGTCACATCAGTGCGTAAATCACCAAAGCAAAACCTAAACTCGCCAAATTCAACTATCGAGGTATCTCAAAAAAATGTATCGCCTCAAATGATAGTATCTCCTGAACTCTTGTCAAATCAATATCAAATTGACAATCAAACGATTGCCAACGATCAGAATCAATTCGATAACTTGACAATTGATCAAACTCTCAACACTATAACGTTGAATTCAGTTAATGACCAGATTACTTTCAATACTGATGGAGCAATATTAAACAACAGTTCGGGTCTTTTAAATCTGAATGATAACAATCAATTAGCTGCAAATTTACAGTACTTTTTGACGAACGGACTTGTTTCGGTGCGAATGGATGATTCTACAATTAACACTCAATTACCTGTGCCAATAGTCGACCTTATTCCTGAGGAATTTAGCGAGATTAATGCAAACGATGCCCAAAAACAAATTTCTGATTCACAAATTGTTATCGTGCCCGAAACTTTCAATTCAGATTCCGGGTTAACAAATGTTAACAATTTTGATTTGGAAAATTGTTTAGTTCTTCACTTAGACGATAATGGTGCTATGTCGTATCCCATCAAAGAGAATGTTAAAACTCCAAAACAGCCGAAAACGTCAAAGTAAGTAATACAGTGTATATGTATAATATAATTTGGTGAAAAATGTATTAACTAATGATTACTTATTATTACTTTTGTAGTATTACAATGAAACGTCAATGCGATATTTGTGGAAAAACGTTTTCTAAGCCATGTCAAGTCGAGCGGCACAAGCGCATTCATACAGGCGAACGACCCTTTAAATGTAAGCTCTGCGACAAATGTTTTGCTCAAAAGTCAACTCTAAAAATGCATCTGAAACACCACACTGGAGATCGTCCTTATCCTTGTCCGCAATGCGAACGTTCCTTCACTCAGAGTGGAAATTTACAAACTCATTTAAAACGCGTCCACAAGCTTGATTCTACGGACATCAAGCATTTGGCTAAACAACAGAATATTAATTATGATACGACTCTTGATTTTGTTGATTTTTCATTTGCGGATTTGTTGAAGTAATTAGAGAGAAGACAACTACGTACATAACTTTAGAACATTGTAACATACTGATATAGGCATAGAATCTATTTTTTACAATGTTTTCATTGCAAAACTATAAATTTTAATAGATCTGAATTGATCCAATAAAGAATTGGATCGGCTAATTTAATTAAAATCTAATAAAAGAATATTAATGATTACGTAATAACTGAAGACTGATATGCCGAACATATTGGGTTTAACGAATACCCAAGTGGTCAAGCATAGTTAATATTATTAGATAGCATAATTATCAAAATAAATTTTTTACTTACATATAGTTATGTTTATAAGTGAAATAGCTACTGACTTGTCTACGCGAAAATATATGTAATGCTGACAGCAACATCAGTATTCAGATAATGATTACATTTTTTACACTGCCTTCGAATGACTTACAAACTAATATTTATATGAACAATCGAAAATAATTAGTGCATATAATTATAATAAACTCACAAAGTACAATCAAGTATATTTTAAGGTTGTAAAACAAAAATATAATTATGTTATATTTAATAAATACATTTTATTCAGGATGTAAGAAATCACATTCATCATTATCCAATGGGCAGCCGTTTGGATGATTTAAGTAAAACCAACATGGTTTTACTTTCCTAGTGACATTTGGATTAATTTTCTTCTTCTTGTTCCTTTTATTTTGCCCTATTGTATCCTTTCCGGGAATCCTAAATCTGACTTTACCAGACTCAACTCTAAAAATGTGTCCATTATTTTTCAACAACGTCTGCAGACCCCCGCATTCCTTTTTTAATTCTTTTAACATATCGGTATCAACGGCTTCAGCTACTTCGTTCAGTTCCATTTCGCCGCCTGTGTTCCAAGTTATACCCGGTCGCCTTTCGAGCTCAATTATGCGTGCCTTGCATAACAAAGTTGTGACCACAATGTCTATTATATTAGATATTACGCTTTTGTCAATTTTGGTGCAGTTTCGAACTTTTTCTATAATCTCCCGTGGTTTAAACGAGCTTGCCCACGCATCGTTGATTTCTTTGTCTTGACACCTTGAATTTATCATTTCTTGGATTTTCAAATCTCGTAAGTCGTTTTCGTCCATTGAATAATTTCTTTCGGAACCAATTAAACATATTCTTTTTGTTGATGGTATTCTTAATTTGTCAATCTGTGTTTTAAAACCGCATTTGTTGGCAACGTCTTGAACGTAATTCATATATTCAAAATATTGACTAGTATCTGAGTTTTCGCGTTGATATTTTTTACCGTCAAAGTCATAAGCACAACACGGTAGCAAAAAAAAGCGACATTTATACGAACTTCTGGCAGCTATGACTGGAATCCACGGCGTCAGTTCATCAGAATGGTTTCCAATCAACCAATCGATTCTAGGATATAAACTTTTTGATGAGGGGATAATTGTACACACCTATAAAAATAATTATAAGCTGCAAGACTTTCAAATACATCTATTAAATTTGATGAATTGAGAAAATATTATTTTACCTCTAGTTTTGTTGTTTCAGGATAGAGATCCCAAATTTTTCTTCTGCGAAGATCAACTCCTAATCCATGATAGCCTTCACAGTTTAATATATGTACTAATAGACCATTCCCACATCCAAGATCTAAAAAGGATTGCTTCTCGTTGATTTTTAATCTCTCTCTTTCTTGTTCCCACAACAATATCAAATATGTAGCAATAGCAACATCTTCATATACAAATTTCAAAGGATCCGTATTTTCTGGCCAAATCTTGACCATTTCTGTTCCATACTTCAGTTTCAATTCATTGTACAGGTCAGTATATTTTTCTGCTGATACAAGTTTTAAGGATCCAGTGACTAAACTATTCTTTGGGCTCTCATTTTTTATCCATTTCAATAGTCTATTGAAAAAGTGATTTTGTAACCACACCAAGTTTTGACTCTCTTTCCATTCATTAAAATGTTGAACTGCTATAGATATCTTGTTATTTTCATATTTTATTTGATATGGATAATCAAATCCTAGAGACTTCTTTTTGTTATCTTGGTCACATTTGTAGAATATATATGTAACACTTTTATTTTGTAAATCAATTAGAGATAATTCTAAAGTTTGTGAACACCTGTTACCATGACGAGGTAACAATTTTGCTAGTCGAATGTAAATATTTTCATTATTTTGAGAATTACTTAGAATTGTTGCCACATTTTCAGAATTTTCAAAAGTAACATCTACATTAGATGCCTTCAAACAATCTAAAATGAAATCCTTATGATTCTCAGTGGTAAAAAAAATTTCATCTACATTTAAAAACCAATCTAAGATTTTCAATTTATCAGCTGTTTTTAATTTATGTATACTAAGTTGAGCAGAAGACGAAATTCTACGGTTGATTAAATGAGGACTTTTCAACCATATACCCAATGCTTTCCAAAAATTTTCAGTACCTGCAGTGCACTCCTCACTGACTATTGTTTCAAAGTCCTTCATGTTAACAATATGAAGTTGAGACTATTTATTTGGTGGTTCTGAAGTTAGATCTTTCTTATACTACAAACAATATTCTTTTCGTTAATCAAAAACTAATTGAATGAAAATGTATATGAAATATATACCTTTTGCATAATCCATTTTGCATCAAGAAGAGCTTTTTCTATAATCTGTTGGACTCTTTCAGGATCAGGTTCAGAAATGTGTTGTTTAAAACTCTGAAATTATAATAAATTTTACAATAGATACAAAAATTGCAATTATTAAATATCAATGTAATTAGAGTTTTTTAAATACGATATTCGCTTATGTCTGATAATTTTTTCTATTTGAACATAATTGTATAACAAAAAAAGTACACATTTATGTTAAAACGTTCTAAAAAAGTAATTACATACCTGTTTGATTGAATGCTTATAAAATTGATTTGCACCCTTTGGCAATTTTTCGCATTCACGAAGTAAATATTTATACAGTCCTTTTGGGGAGTGTTTTAACAAAAAATTACTTGTTATTACCATAATCTAAATTAGGACTATACAACGAGTGGTTCACAACTCGTCAAATTTGTTAAGGCTTGGAGCTTTCCTATTTGTTGTAATGCAAAATTACAGTGACGCAAGAGGTACTTATGGTTCAACTAGACGATCAAACGTGCTCTGACCAGTGACCATGTAGCGAACATAACCTCGTTCTAGTAACGATGCGTGAAAGTATAGAGACAGAGAGAGAGAAGAGAGCTAAAATTTGGAATATATGTTCCAGATTATTGCCATGTGCAATGTTTACTTTATAATTAATTCAAAAAATTGTTTATTTTACGGAAATATTTTATGAAATAATTTTGGAATGTTTTTAGTGTGATTATTATGTTTAACGCTACAGTGTTAGAATATACGTTTGACGTGTTTACATTTTAGTAGTCTGAAATTTTTGTGTATTGATGAGAATATAAGACTTGTAAAAATGACTTTTCTAAATATTTACAGTCCAAGAGGATTTTTGAGTTTAGGAGAATTTTCATTAAATGTGATTCAACGTTGTGCTACTTCTACCAGAAAACACAAAACAGCTGGAATTATTGGTAAATAAATATACTTTTATGACTTTAAATTATTGTGAGAATATACACAAAATTTAAAACTAATCTATTCTTTTTCAGTAATTGGAAATGAAATACTTAAAGGTCAAGTGAAGGATACAAATTCACACTTTATATGTAAGCATCTTTACCGTTGTGGTGTCAAGGTTGAAAAAGTTAGTTAACAATGTTCTTCATGTAAATATGCGAAAGAGTTGAATAAAAGCCAAAAAGGATACTTTTCTTTTCTTGAAGATTTCAGTAGTGAGCGATGATGTTGATCAAATAGCAAAAGAAATCAAGGAGTTTTCTGGAATGTTTACACATGTTATCACCTCCGGTGGTATTGGACCTACTCATGATGATGTAACTTATGAAGGTATAGATTAAACAATAATAAATAATGTTATTATTCATGTTATAAAGATTTTAAATATTTAAAATTTGCAGGCCTAGCTAAAGCTTTTGGAGACAAGCTACATAAACATCCAACCTTGGCAGAAATAATTAGAACATATTTTGGAGTAGCAGATCCTTTGTCTCCTGCTTACAAACTAGCTTGTGTAATTGATTCTCTTTGGTTTTTTCTTTTAATTCTTAGAGAGAAATATAAATTATTCATGTAATATGATTTTTCAGATACCAAAAAAAGCAATTCTTAAGTTTGGAATTAACAAAACTACTAGTGTTCCTCTCAATTTTCCATGTGTGATATTAGAAAATGTTTATGTTTTTCCTGGTTCACCTGTCTTTCTACAAACAGGTTTCGGAAGTTTATATAAGGTAATATAAATTTTTATATAAAATATCTAATAACATAACATTTTTTTTTTAATTTATAAAAACAAAGTAATTGTTTTTCTTATTTTAGATTTTATTTAATACTGGACACCGCTTTGCACATGAAGAATTGTACCTGAATGCCGTCGAAAGTAAATTTGCAGACGCTTTAACTGCGGTGTCTAAAGAATTTCCGAACGTAATATTTGGATCTTATCCAGAAGGGGAAAAGTACGTTACTTTCATTATACACACTCCTTATAAAATAATCTGTTTTTATTAAATAAACTGTGAGTTATTAATTGATATATTTAAAAAATCAATATATTTGTTATAGTGACTACCAAGCGCGAATCACGATAGAGAGTAGCAGTGAGTCGGAAACAAGGAAAGCTAAGAAAAAGTTTTGTAGTCTAATACCACCTGACATAATAGTAAATAAACCGTCAGATTGATAATCGGTGTATTTTTAAGAAATAGGCACTATTTGAATCGCTTTGCCAGTACAAATATATCAATTGTTTTTTAAGTTTTAAAGGCGATGTTTGTAAACTATTGACGTAGAAGTTAAAAATAGAATCGCACGTGTACATTTTACAGTAAAAAAAATACTTGAGTATTAAAAAAACAACAGGAAAACTACACTTTAGTTTTTTTTTCATCACACGAGCTGGTTCAACAACCCTTGGTAGAAATTCTTTTCCCTCCTTCACCTCGTCGTTTTTGCTTTCTTACAAAATTTCATTTCGAGTTAAAGCATTTCTAGTTTTTCCTTTGAAAGTTTAAAATGAGGCCGCAAGTGAGTGTACGCGGGAGGAACGTGCCCTTTCACAGACATCTTTTTTACTTCTCCTTTTCCTCTCTCGTCGCGTCTTCTTTCGACAATTGCTTGCAATGCGCGAACAGTAGAAAAGGATAAATTTCTAGCATGCTTTTCAATTTAATATTAATCTCACATGCCTGTCGGTGCGTTTCAATTTGCTTTTCTTTTTTCTGCTTGGTCGTTTATACAGAGTGCCAGAACGTTCCTTCTCTCCTGAATTTGTTTTTATTAGGATACAAAGCTGTGAGGGGGGGGGGGGGGATGGATTTCGAGATCTGGCCGATGTGTACAACGACAATGAAAGAGACGGGGGCAGGAGTGGCTTTTCTTTTCCCGGCTTGTTTTGATAAGAGTGTATAAATAATGTAAATGATGGCGAAAAAACTAGCGCAACGATCGTGTTTTTCTTCCTTCGAGGGGGCGAACCTGAGTGCACCACAAATGTACAGTTTGTCTTGTAAACACTATATATAAGAGGCGATTGGGAATTGTCTTCGATTTATGTTGAATAAATAGCTCTTGGCATTTTATTTATTTTCCGCTCCTTATTTATTGCGCACACATACCTCTCTATTGGCCCATCATGGTAATGGAACGTCACGTTTTGTGCTTTGGAAAATATCTTTATTGGCGAATTTTCTATTCATCCCAGCGGACATTTATAATACATACGGCAAATATAGAGAGACAGAGTGTGCCCGTCGACAACAAAGCCCCGAAAGTGCTTCACTTATGGCGTTGCTGCATAAGCAACAACGCAACAACAAAAAAAGTAGTTGCTCGGCAAGCAATATCCGCGAGAGTATGTATGAAAGAGGCAACGCAAAAATCCGCTCCATAAGCAATCTCTTAAAAAAGAGATCCGCGGAACAAAAGATCGCTTCTCTCGCGAGTCGTTTGCTCTCCCTTGTCTCATCCCTTAATTTAGTCGCACGGCGGACGATCGAATCTCCTTTTTCGAATTAATTCGAGAAGCGTATTTCAAGAGAGAGGAAGGGGAGTGAGTGAGAGAGAGAGAGAGAGAGTTGCGGAAATTGATTGCCATCGCGCGCGAGCGTGGAAAGAAGATCGAGAGCCTCGACGCGCGTCGAAAGTTTTGCACGTAATCGGCAACGCGCGGAGCATCGAGAGAAAAGAAAAAAGGAGAACGATTGTGATTAATCGGGGATGGCTTTGAAAAATGGAGCGGAAAGTTGGCTTTCGGAGCATCATTGCTTATTTCGTTACAAATTGATTTTTTCCCATTTAGCGAGCTATCGTTACGAGCGAAGAAACGGAAAAGTTGTTTTTGCGTCCGGTGATTGTGAGTCGCTCGCAGCAATGAAAGCAAAGTGCCGAGGAAATTGAAATTGACATAAAAGCAAAGAGAAATCGAGTGTATATCTGTACGTTGCATTGCACATACGTACACGTGCGCTTGCGCGCGCGCTCGCCTGTATATATATTGGCACGAGATATAATATATTCGACGTAGCTCTTGGAAACGAGCACGTGTATTTCCTGAGCAAATATTTACATAAATGAGTGAGCGAATGTATGTAGGTGGGCGTGCTCGTTTCTCTAAACCCCCCCCCCCCCCCCCACCCACCCACCCACCCACCACGACCTCACCGCGCGAAAGATGCCGATGGAACACGAGCGAAAATGTATTTCCCGTTTGATTTTCAAGAATACTCTTTGCCTCCGTGAGCGAGACTTTAATTCTCTGAAGTTCCCACCAAAGAAAAGGTTCCATCGGAAAAATGCAAAGTACAAAGTTTTTAAATTTTAAGCGTCGACGTCAAAGAAAAGCCTCTGAACGTACATCATTTGTCTACTGTGAAACAGAGAGAGGGAGAGAGACAGAGACAGAGACAAAAACCTTGCTTTCACAAAAGGAAAAAGACCAAAAAAAGAAAAAGGATAGATCAAAGAAAAAAACTTTCAGCTCCAATTTCCTAATGGTACTCATACCATGCATTAGTCGAGTAAAACCGGTTTTCATAAGTACATAGTCATGCTAGATCTGTTTGTAGTTTCACATTCAAGCGTCTCACGCTTTACAATGTTTTATTCTAATGTGTATGCATATGTATAAACGTGAAAAAATGTATGAGGCTTTTTCGAGAACAATGGTCGCACACTAGCAACGCATTCATTATTAATGCTATTAGAAAAATTATGTAAAAATGTTCTCGTAAGATTTATATGTTTTGTTTTAGTCGATGGAGTGAAATTGAAATAACTAATCTTTCAATGAGAAATTAAAATCATTGCAAAACAAAACTTTAGTACGATCAAATGAAAAATTGAAAAATTTTATAGGGCATTGCACAAATCATTCTCGTTATCTCTATTTCCTCGTCAAATTAAATTGCCAAGTCATGCTCTGAATAAAGAACTTTGATCATAGCCTTTTATTTCATCACTGCCTCTTTTGGACCTTATAAAAATATTTCAATTTCGGCCTCTCATGCTCAAAAAAAAGAAAAGAAAAGTAAAATAAAAATAGTATCATGACAGGAAAGGGGCTAACCCTTGCGTTAAGCATACATTTACCACCTTTTGCTTTCAGCTCGATCACTTTACACGTTCTATGGGCTTTGTGACTCTTTTTTTACCCGTCGGTGCTCCGTGTACCAATATTCTAGCTTCTTTTTTTGTAATGGAGGGGGGGGGCACAAAAAAAAACTGCATGGCGTTCAATCAATATTCACAGGTCTTTTTCATTTCATGGTGTAATCCTTCAGATGACTGGCATTATTCGTAAATAACCCTATTCGATTTTACTTTTTTGAAATAAAAATTGCTGCTACATACAATTGAACAAATGAAAAATAATTAACCTTTTTGTTATTGGCATTAATACTTAGATATATTTATTTCATACGCCAGCGAATTGCTAAATATTTGCCATTTTTTCTATTAAAATAATTCATCTCTTATTACACTTATGAAAGCAGTCCGCCCCAGAAAACACCCAAAATTTTCAGTTAACGGTTTTATTTTGGCGCAAGAGTGTCTTTAGCGTTTCTCTAACATTGATCGCTATTGGTCGCAAATAAAAGAAACAAAGAAAAGTGAGTTCAGTCTATCTGTAGCATCTGTTATGTATGTACACATCCAGTTTATTTAGTATCAGCTTGTTACTCAAAAATATTTACTCGACAGTTGTGCGAATACTTACGCTCCATGTTATAACACGTTTGAAGAGAAGTTGCCGTGATCTGGAAAATAGGGTGGTGAATTTACGTTTTAACGTTGAAAGACGTTGCTGCAGTATCTCAATTTCTATGGCTGGTGCCTGTTCGGTAAAATATATCATTTCCGAAAATCAGTTAGCGAATTCGCGCGTTCAAAAGGCCTTTTGTATATGAAAAGTGAGAAGTTTAGTGTGTGAGGTTATAAATACATCATTCTTGGAAGTTGAGTGTGAGTCGAGGCTAGATATGGCAGACCAGTCACTTGATTTCTATAGGCTTGAATGCCCGATAAACATATTCGAGTCATCATTCGAAGACGACGAGCCAGGAGACAACGAAAATGAATTTCAGAATGGTGAGTTTTTAATGATAAGACATACAATGTTCGATTAATAGTTTGTTGAAATAAATCTAAATGCTGCCTTTACATAAAAAACAAGTAGCAAAGCCTGTGTTTTAAAGAGATGCCTCGTAACGCTGAAAGTCCAGTCTAGATTTAGAACATCCAATCGGTAACACTATCTGATCGCAAAAGTCAAAGTTTGCAAATCTGTTAATGAAATATGAAAGTGCTAATTCAGAAGGGACAGCGCGCCCGTCGTTGGTGCCGGTTGAACGTGTGCGCGTGTGCGCGTGTGTGTGCGGTGGTTTGTTTGCGCGCCCTTCGCCTGACAAAGCGCTTTGATCATAGCGGTGTTCGTATATAGATGAATCGAGAGCTCCGGGGAGGGGGGAGGGTATGGGTTTTAGCGAAATCGCGTTTCTGTTTGCACCCGGCGCCAGCCGCACTCTCGAGAAAATGACTTCGCGAAGCTGTATTAGTTATCAGCTGCAAGTCTTTCATTATTCAATTCGTGTTTTCTCGGAATAATTCCTCGATTATAATTCATCAATCAAACTGGATTTTCAAACGCACAATTGAGATTAAAAACTTGATTAACTCTGCTGCTGCCAGCGCAAACGAGCCAACCATATTTCAATATTCATTCAATTTCCGCTTTTGCCATTTAATGCTATTACACTTCAATATTTTATATTCCGCGCGAGCCTTTCGTTCATACATGCCAATCGCTCGTACCCTTCAAAAATTTTCAATAATCAATATCGCAATTTCCAATATTCAATTAATATTTATTGAATTATACAACGAACAAAGAATATGCGTGCATGCCCACTTTTAAATACGCAGTTGTTTGCTTTTAATATCAATGTGTGCGAGTGTCCGTGTGGGCGCGCGCGCGTTTGTTACAAAGCGCAATCTCATTGTGCATCCCCCCGCGTGAAACTCACATTCCATATCGTCAAAAAAGTTTTTTAATAAAACTTTACCCTCTGTGCATGTATACACAGAGCGCATGAAAGATTTCGCAAATGCAATCGTCATATTTTCCGCGTGGTATCTAAAACGTACACGATTCTTTTGATGATTATCTTGCCAAATCATTTATTCGCGTCGTATACTAGTTTGCGTTCTCTCTCTCTTTCTCGTTCGCAGTTTATTTACAATAGCCGTCCCTGTTTAAATGCAGTAAAGCCCGTCGATCGCGAAAAAGAGCTCCTCGATAACAAACCGAAATAAAAAAAATCAAACACGAATTAAACTTGTGTGTGATAGAACTTTCGCAGATTGAAAAGTCATTCTATGCGCCCTCGCGTGTACGAATTACGTTGCGCGCGAGCGATGTAAAAAAGAAAAGAAACAAGAGATAGTAACTTGACGATATACGTGGCATAATAACAAAGCATAAAAAGTTGCGATGATGTTTTCGACGGAAAAAAGCGAAACTGCTGCGACGTGGTTGGCCGTAAACGTTGCCGTATAATAATAAAAAAAAATTGAAGAAAGAATAGTGCATTTCGTAATAATGTTAAAAAATGTCGAGGGGCAGTAAATACATTCATGTAAATATTGTTCTTATATTCGAAATATGGAGGTACCCGACATTTTTCATTTCAAACATGACAAGCGCGGTCATGTAAATATTCATTGTATATATTCTTTCTCGCCCGCGTACGTTGCTGACAGGAGCTTTTCGAGTGAAAACCTCGTTTTCTCGGAGACGTTATACGTTTTGTAGGATTAAAATTTTTAATCTAAATCTTTTCGTCCAGGTGGAAAATTGATTGAAATGACGGGTTAACCTATCTTGACACTGCATCGCGTCCGTTCCGTCGAGAAAGAAAGAAAAAATTGTCAATTTTCCTTGCAAATACCGAAAAGAAAAGAAAAGAAAAAAAGAAGGTCCGATCCAAACTGATGCTTGCATGCGCTATAAGGTCAGCCGAACATGGTCGTGGGCAAAGAAGCTCGGGGGTGAGGCGATAAAACGTCGCGCAAAGGGTAAAAGCGCAATAAAGACGGGGTATGGAGCGCGAAGGGTTGCAAAAGAGAGAGAGAGAAAGAGAGAGAGAGAGAGAGAGAGAGAGAGAGAGAGAGAGAGAGAGAGAGAGAGAGAGAGAGAGAGAGAGAGAGAGAGAAGTGGCGGCACGTCGGTCGCGTGCCGTGGGCGGGGCCATCAACCTTCTCTCTGTCGGTTCTTCTTCTGGGGCAACAGTCGATCCCACCAGAGAGAGCTTGCCGCTGCTGGTTATTGATTCCCCCGGGGGTGCAGCCAGCGTACCCCTTTGCCACCACCACCGCCTCTGTTTCTTTACATCCCTACCTCCTGCCTGCCGATGTTGTGTACGTGTGTTGTGCCGCGGCTATATAGCTTCTTGCGGTGCGAGCCGCCAAAACAAATGGAGACTGGCGGAGAGGAAGGGGACAATCGACGTGTACAAGCCCGGCTGCTGCTGCTGCTGCTGCTGCCGCCGCCGCTGCTTTGCTTTGCGCGATCGCTCTTGGGGGATTGTCGAGCGGGGATTTACAAGGCAATTACTATAGGTGCGATCATTAGCTCCTCTGCTCGCTCACTTTCATCCCTTTTTATCCTCTTTTTGCCTTTCTTTCGCCCTGACGCTTGCTCTAATCGCCCGATTGATGTTTCCGCAGTGATTAATGCGGAATCAATCCAATTCCCGCGAAATCGTGTCACAACGAGCATTAGCTTTGAGATAATGTTCTTGGAAAAGCTGCTCAGACCAACCTCGGCCATTGTGTTTTCATAGATGCCGCTCTTGCAGCTCGTTAAGCGCCGGAATCATTTCTTCGGCCACGTACGAGTCAACGTATAGCTGCCCGGTGATCGCAATCCAAGCAAAAGATTACAAAAATAATAAAGCAAGGGTTGCACCAGCTTTATCCTTCTGTGACCGCGGCGGAGGGGAGCTTGCGTTTCTCTTCGAGGCCGTGCGTCTCAAAAATTCAAATTCGTCTATTATCATGGCAAGTGCGAAGGTTATATTTCACGAGGCGCACTGACATTTAAAGTACGAGATGAGCGATAGAGATAATACCTTCAAGTCGTTCAAAGAGAGAGAGAGAGAGAGAGAGAGAGAGAGAGAGAGAGAGAGAGAGAGAGAGAGAGAGAGAGAGAGAGAGAGAGAGAGAGAGAGGAGAGAGCGGGAGTGCGTCGGCCCGGAACGAAATGAAATCGTGAAAAAAAGGAGAACGTTATGCTCATCGCTTGGCTGTATGCTTTGCTATTCCCTTCCTTCCTTTCTTTTTTTTTTAACTTACCGCGCGCAAGAGGAAAGAGTTTCCTCTCCCTCGAGCGCGCGCGAAAGAATATTACCTGCAGCTTTATGACTCCTGGATGACACAGACTTTTACGATTATTAATCCCTATATTTTCTTAGGATCCGTTTCGTATACATTCTCGGTTTGTCTCCGGGCGCGCAAACGCACGCACGCGCAGCCCCGTTCGCTTAACGCTCATCCACGCTCTCTTTTTTCTTATGACGCTCGCTCGCCTCTCCCGAAATGACTTCGACATTGTCTCTCTCTCTCTCTCTCTCTCGTTTCAATTAACTTTTGAAAAGCTTTACGCTATAACGACGTTAACTTTGTGTCGCGCGAGCGCGCGAACAATGGTATTTTCTAACTTGGAAATGCGCCATTGTCGATGAAACTTGAAAGTTGTATAAAGTTTCACCGACGAGGAGGGAGGAGAGGGAGAGAGAGAGGGAGAGAGAGAGAGAGACAGAGCGAACCTCGATAAATTTCCATTTTATAGAATACACGTCATTTTTATTTTCCGCGAGAGCGACTTTGCGAAGAATAAAACTTGCGCACGCCGCCGCCGCCGCCGTATCATTACTCTCTTTTTGAACGGCAGAATTGTGCGCGAGATAAATGAAAAAAGTTTTTTCGAGGGTGGAATGACGTCACGTCGAGAGTATATTAGCCCAAGAGTATAGGTAAACAAAAGACGGAAAGATTGGTCGCCAAAGTGAGATGAAAAGCGATTGGCGAATTGCCGTTTCGCTGCTTTACGGCCGCTTGTACCAATGCGCCCTCGCCCCGCAACGGGGAGGAGAAATTGGCACTTTGTTCTCTTTTCTTGCCGAGGCCTCATCGTCACTTCGCCGCCTCGACCCTCTCTTTAACTCGGGCTGTATATCCGACGCACTTCGCACCGTCGTGCCGCCCTGAATTTAGTGCGCCTTTGATTTACGAGCACGTCACACCTGCGGTGATGTTTATTTCGCTATACATATGTAGCGAAGAGAGTGGAGAGAGATTCTCCTCGCTTTTAACCCTCTCCTTCGTACCTCTGGCTTATCTTTCACGGGTTATTGTCTATTTTCTTACGTGCTCCTCCACCCTCCCTCCTTCCCCCGCCCGCCCACTCTCTTACCATCCGCGTGTCAACGATTTGTCGATTTCAGTTTTTATTCTCGTTCACTCGTAAAAACTTGTTTTCTATTCCGCTGATGCGAAATTGTAGATTGACGAAATTACGCGCAAGCGAGAATTTGTTTTTCAAAGGATATTGGGAAAGCAAGAAGAATCGCCGAGGCAAAGATCGAAAAGAACAGATAGCACGTGCTCGACATTAATAGAAACAGCATAGTTAAAATATTTGCGGATTGAAAGCGCGTCCAACCGAGTCTGTATGTCGCAGTTGCGCTACCTGTACGCAGCGAAAACAATATTGATTTGTTTCTTTTTATTTTATTTTTCTTTTTGCCCACGTAAATTAAAAACTGTATCTCTGTGCAAGCGGCTTCAATAAAGATAAAATATTTTTGCTTTCGGTGCGGAAAATACCCTCGAATCTCGGTAATTGGAAAACAATCATTCGAAATATTGGAAATTTGTGCGCAATGTTTGCGAATCAATTTTGCAAATTAGCTCGGATAAAATAACTCCATCAGGCTTGTTGCGGATGAAATTCGTCTTTTGCGCGCAAGAGCCGGCAAAGCGTAAAAACGCAAAAAACCCGCGGATTATTAGATGTCTGGGAATAAAAT